GAAATCCAAATAACGGGTATGACAGATGACAATGAATCTGCGCATATTTGGCGGTTTTCTGGGACCTACGTTCTTTTTTTATCACTTTTTATACTAAGTGTTGGTTTCAAGGAGAGGAATCATATGATATGATGTAGAAGAGTGAGAGAATAAAGATGGCGACGGAAATCGCAAAAGCAATCCCGTGAATATGGAAAGAAAACAGTCGTCACCTTTAAAGAAAGTGCATTATTTTAAATAGAAACATGTATATACCTACACAGAATTGGGGAAAATACTTATTTACAGAAAAAATAGTAGAGAAAGAAATGCTTAATGTGCAGTGAGAAACGAAACAAAAAAAAAACAAAAGAAATAAATAGGAAATCTACAACAACGGAGTTAAATGATGAAGGGATAAGAAAATTATATGCATTAAAATAGAACGGGCATATTATAAGAAGCCAGTGATGAATAAAGTTACAAAAAAAAATTGTATAGAAAAAATTATGTTTCATGTAAGTAATTCGATAGATCACAATAAAAAATTGGGCTAAATTTATTTAGACAAAACTTCTTTTCCTTCTGAAGAGAAATTGTTGCATATTAAAATATTATTTCAACAAAGAATGATTTTGTAATTTTTGCATGAACATAATAATTTTAATGTGTATAACATGAGACTAGCAGTGTCACTTTGTCTTAAGAATTTCGACCAAATTAAACGGGCCGTTTTTGAATTAAAAGAAAAAAAAGATACATTTCTAACCTGGGATATTTCGCATTGAAAGCGTAGTGATTTATATTTACACATCAGTTTTGTTCCAATTACATATTTTTTCACGTTATTACAATGAGGGTGGTTAAAGTATACCTAAAATTTCGCTATAATCAGACAGTTTCTGACATTAAAAAAACTAAAATGAAAAAATATTGGTAACAAATATATTAGAGAAAGTAGATGGTTCGTTAGCTCAGACAAAATCCAAAATTAATCTGTAAAATCTGGGTGAATCAGATTATATTATTATGTACTTTTAAATATCAGATAAGATCTGAAAAAAGCCAATATTGTGAGCCGTAGAAAAAGTTGTGAAAAAAATTAAAATAAAGTAGTACACCGAAACCACAAGATTGGGGATCAATAAACGATGATATAATATTAACACAAAGACTAATTAAAAAATTGGTAGACGTTAGGTTATTTCAACAGGATTTCCCTTGCCCCTGAAGTACAAACCCACGTAAATTAAAATAAAAAAGTTTGATTTTGCGAACTTTTATTTGTGATAACTGATAACCTCGGCATATAAAAAAAATAGATAATGTGTTTTGTGACGAAACTCCGGTGAATGGACGGCGGCGTTGGTTTCTCCGATAACGCGTGGGTGTGGCGTGCCTCGGTGCCAAGCCTTGGGCCGACTAGTGCTGCTGAGCAGAAACTCGTCTGGCCGACCGAGGCTTATGCGGTTACCTTCACGCCACCGGGGCTGACGCCTTCGGTCGGGAGCGGCGGTGCTCGGGCGCCACTGGGGTTGCTGTAAAGATACGGATCTCCAGGTGGTCTGGTGAGCGCCCGCGGAAACAAGAAATAAAATAAAATGAAGGAAAATTAACAATAATCGGGTTTTCATTCCCTGCCACAAGCTACACGGCTAAAATAATCATATACGTCCAAAATAATTTCAAATAATTACAAGGGGGTTTTACAAAAAAAAAAAAATAAACAGAAAGAATTAAACATCCGGCATGGTCATTCCCTCCTGGAAGGCGACTTCCTTCAGGACGGGCTCCTCCTGTTTCTGGCGGCGGCGACCCTGGGACGGGAAATCGGGCGCGGACGGTACGGCGACCAGGGAAGGGAGCGCAAACAGGCAGACAACTCCTCCACAGCCACAACATAGGGGCGAAACACTTCCTTTCTCATGAAGACTTCAAGAAGCAAATCCCTCTTCCCGCGTTGGCGCGAAGACTGTGGATTTACCCCCGGCGCCGGCGCTCGGTACTTGTCGCGGTTTCCGGCCCGCAATAATGATCTTTTTTGTTCCAATTTCTTTTTAATGACACTATATATTTTTTAGAAATTCTTCTATTTTGTATAACCCATATTCCGCCACGGCCTATGATTCGAACGCATTAGGTTGTCAAAACACACTCTGTTAATTCATTTGGTCTGGAGTACACTTTTCCTCCACCCATGACCAGAAATTATTTGCATTGATAAAGAAAAAGGTTATGCCTGTATTTCTAGTCAGTTGTCGCATTTGAAAATGATCCGATTAACAATATTTTAGCGAGAACGCGTATGTCAATTCCGACACGGTCAGTATAATGTGGAATATCCACAACAAAAGAGTGGGTTATGCCTTTTTTGAGATTTGATCATTAAAAAAATAGATACTTGCAGTAACAGTGTAAGAAACAAAAAAGCTCATGCTACTTTCGAACGTACGGGATTTTCGCGTTACAAGTCTGAAGATAACCTCCGCTTACACTAGTTTGCTGTATAATTTTGATTTTTTACGAAAATTTGTATGACAAGTACAGGAATGTTATTTTATAAAATTTAAATCCTACTTACTATGAAACATTTTGAGGGGATGCCATTTTTGGTGGAGATGGTCAGATAATACATGATATTCCTAAAATACATATAAAATTTAACAACCGGTCTGGTAATTTCGAAAATTATCCATCTAATAAAAATCGACACAAACAACAGACAGATAGACGAAAACGCGAGAAAACATAAAAGTAGTCAGTCGCCCGAAGGACTCTATTACAATACTTCTTTAGCTTACGCTCAGAGAGTAAAAAGCAGTCAATTAATTTGTCATTCTCATTACAGCAGAACTATGCACTTCATTAAAGAAAAGAATGAAGAGGTATCTGCTCACTGTGTGGTATCTGGTAATGTTAAGTCCAGAAAGACCTGATTTTTATTATATGTATTAAAATGTAATAGCCCAAGGTTTCTAGACTTGGAAACCACTTTTAGACGAATTCAAGCAGATAAGCGGTACAATATAGCATGAAACAAAAAAAAATACGTCGTAAGATATTGAAACTTGTGTACTTCTAGTGACACAATGATTTGTGTCACCAGGCTTCCCTTTGGAAGAAACTGATGAGAATGTATAAATGCCTATACATCGGGTGGTCAACATAATTTATAATCGAGTCATCCTTAGCATTGAATCCGTATGTCTTCACTGACATGTTTATACGTATCATAGAAAAAAATCACATAATTGTGTAACGCTAATATTTGAAACGAACACATAAACATACAAAAGCTAAAATCTTCATAAACTGATGTTTAACTTTGATTTAAATTTTACGTTAATTTGTTATCAGTCTTACTGGAGTCACATGGAACGTCTCTTCCAACCCTACTTGTTTTCTCGCTTGTTGTGGCTTCCCGGAAAAATAATAATCTCTACATTGAAAACAGTTCTTTTCAGAACTTTGTGTATTCAGTTAAAAATGGCATTTCCATTGGAGCAGAAGATGTTTATGATTGAGTCCCATTTTCGAAATGAACAGAAGGCTGAAGCTAAGCGGTATGTGCGAATACTGGATTCAAGCGGCTTAGGATAAATTCCGGGAAGAATTTTGCAACAATATCGTCGACTACGATCATTTTTGCAACTCCTTAAAATGATGTGTGACGAAGTTCCGAGAAACCTCGTCTCTACAAGGAACGGAGGCAAGATAATGGAGCAAACTCTACAACATCCAAACAACATTTGGTGCAACAAATGAAATTTATTAAAGTATTTTTATTAAAATATTGTAAATGTGTGCAAGAATTACGTAAAGTCGATTCTCCAGCGCTAGAGTTGTTTATTATCAGTGGTTTTTGTAAATATTAATGCCATGCTTATTCAATATACCTAATCTTTTTCAAGGTAACTGCTAGATATTAGAAATTTTTTTTATACCATCCTAACGATGAAATGGAAGTGGGTTATTTTCAACAAGACGGGACTACAGCGCATTCGGCTAGGACCACAATAGTAATGTTATGGGAATTTTTTGATAACCGGATTATTAGGTAATCAATTAATCACCGAGAATATTTGTCCTTCGAGATCTTGTGATCCTACTCCGACTGTTGAGACATGTAATCGATGGAATTAGATGAAAGGCTCATTTATGCTTAAAACAACCAAAATGGGCAATATTTTCAGCAATGACTAATTTAATTTATGTCATTTATTTAATAAAATTAATCAATCTTGAAGCACTTTTCTTATTTTATTAAAAATCTTATTAAAAAGTGTCCGCAATTTTTACTTTTACAGTTATAATTTTTTATAATGACTCAATACTTTAAAACGATGTAAAACTGAAAATGTACATAAGTATAAACAGAAGTTAAAAAATATTATAATATGCACGTAATGAATTTCAAAAACGAGTATGACTAACTTCGACCTTAATAAAAAGTCGTTAAAAATCCTCAAATTTTTTCTCCGTGTTTTTTTTTGCCAAACATAAAAAACTTCGAGGAGTCATTCCATTCAGTCTTAGTCAAAAATCCAAACTCCTCCGCACCTCTGTTTTCTATTTTTATGTAATCTTTCTATTTTTACCCCAGTGCACATTTTTTCGTTTTCGAAACAGACAACTCACGAACCAGCACCTCAAGCACAAATCCTCTCATCAGCGTCCCGAATGCGGTTCTTCGGCTTTCCGCCGCGACCTCTCCGGAAAATCATTAGAAACTCTCATTCTGAAAATTTTCCTCGCTTAGCCGCAATTATCCCGAATCGGGAATCGCCATGAGGCAAGATGTGCCAATTAAAATATCGTTTGCAGGAGTGTTAGCCGTGTGCCGTTAATCGTCCATAAGCGTTGCGCATCCGGTAGTCGCCGTCGATGTCGACAGAATAAGAGGCGAAGAAGAACCTCGCCGTGTTGGACACACTCCTCATCGGAAACGAGGATAGTCGCGAGAATCGCGCGTGCCTTTGGGGGCGTACCACGAATTGTGTGGACTTAACCGCGCGGCTGTTTCTTTGCTTTAGTATCACCCGGTCTTCGAATGTTAAAGCACCGATTCTAGCTCCAGGGGCCTCCGCACGACGACGATCCCTCAGGGAGCTCATGAATGTTCGCAAAATTACCGTTCGAAATTTTTGTGAATTGTGCTCCGAAGGGATGACGATGACGCTCAGTGGTTAATGTTGTGTGGGGCATCGCGATAACAATGCTAATTTCGAAAGAGGATTTGCAACAGACTCGGTGCCGACTTTCAGGAGATATGACTTCACGTTTCACTTTGATTGTAGAAGTAGGTAATGTTTGTCCGCTTTAGAAAGAAGTACAAATTTTCCTATATTCTACGGTTTTTTTGTCCGTCGGCATACGCTTCTGGTGATGAGAAAGTCATTTTTTTAGGTGTATAAAAATTTTTATTTACGCAAAAGTTGTACTTAATTGGAAAATTTTAATTATTTTAAGGTTCCGCATCTTTTAGTTAGCGAAGTTAGGAGATGTTATGTTAATTATAAGCATCTTCTTTTACGACTTTTTTTTTAATTTTTAAAGTCGGTATGAAAGTTTTAACTAATAAGGAAATAAAACGTTATCAACGGCGGATCAGATAGTATGTATTTTATGCGATATTTTTTAGAATAAATAGTTGAGCGTGTTCGCTTAACATATTTAACAAAACTGTTTCAAGTTTCTTTGTTTTCAGTATATTAATTACATTTGAACTGATCAGTATTATCGTTATAAAATCACTGAATTAGATACCTATATAATATAAATATGAAGTTCCTGAACTATGAACACTAATAACCGTACACGATGCTTAGATAAGAAACGTGCAAGCAAGTGCATTTTAATTAGTTTTCCCATAATTAATAAACATGGGAAAAGTAATTACAAAATTGAAAATCAGGTGAATACAACAAATTAGAAAATTCTTTTTGGGTGTTTAAGAAAATAGTCTACCATCCTCAAGCACTTTTATAAAAAGATTTATTACTTGAACTGTTTTCCTTAATGAGTTACTTTTAACACAAAATTAACAAAATTTTATTAAATGTCAAAGAAAGTATTACTCTTAAAATTACCCACAAAAAATCTAGTGTGGTTAGTATGATATACCGTTTCACTTTTTGTAAGGAATTTTATGGCGTTGCCACTATTAGAAACTTTTCCTGGAATAAATCATATTGTGGCTGATATTTTTGCTACATCTAAAATAAAATATACCACTATCAAATTAAAGGAAAATTTGTGGTATCAAAAAACTATTATGTGAGGTAGCCAAGTAGTTAAATTGTGTAGTTTTTAACAAATGAAATTTCCACCATATGTGCAGAAATTCGTAGTAAAGTCTATTAAGATATCATATCATATTTTGTTATCTTTTCAAGTCGGCCAGATTAAGTACTCTAGCGAATCTATTTCTCAAGGATAATAAAAAGCAAATTTGTTGATTGTAAATATATTGTAATTATTAGACAAAAACTGTATATATCGGAGTATACTATTTTAATAAGATATTGTTATTTATATTACAATTTAACTATAGTCGACGTTATATTATTTTTACGGATAAAATTAAAAAAAAAGTTCATTTACTTCGTAGGTAAACCATTGAAAAATGTTTGAAATTCTGAATTTTTAAATTTTAAAAATCATTTTATTATTAAAAAACGGTGTTAAAACAGAATGGTTTAAAAGTGCGTTTCTTTTGCATGTTTTTGATTAAAAAATCATAATCGTTTTTTTTTAATTTTTGGTTGAAATAGTGCGTCATTATTTTATATTTGAAACAGTTTTAGACAAAAATGTGTCGAATTTTTTACGACATTAGTTACATCTAAAATGTAAGGTTTAGAATAACAAAAAGCAAGTCAAATTCAGGAATTTTTTAGTGCTGCAAGTGGTTGAATTACTAGTTTATGAAAACAAGGAGCGAATGATTTTGGAGACTCAGAAAACCGGGAAATTTAATGAACGTGTGAAAAAAATCTTATGAGAGCGTGTACACGTTGCACAACAGGAGCATGTAATATGTTGCGAAATTGTTAAATTTTTTCACAGTAGAAGAAATCTAATTTAAAATTCTATTAAAACATGGTAATATTTTCTAGTCCAAATGAGAATTAAATTTTACGAATCATTAATATTTTAAACAATAGAACAAAATCTGTTACGAAATTGTTAAATTTTTTCACAAAAGATGAAATCTAATTTGAAACTTTTATTAAAATATGATAGTATTTTCTAGCCCAAATGAGAATTAAATTTTACGAATTATGTATATTGCAAACAATATAACAAAATAAGTTATGGTTTTCAAATGCACTTCAAATAATTTCCCTCTCAGTTTTTCCACAGCGAGAATACCGGCACACGTTCTTCTCCACTATTTATTTATTTTAAGCCATATGAAATCCAGACCTTGTTGAAATTTCCATGGCATAAATAAGATATTTAAATATACTTTTTAAGGAGGTTTTCATTACACTGTCTCCCATTTAATTAATATTTAGTATTATTATTTATTTATTTATCCTATTAATTTTATCATCTACATAGTTACTAACATTTTTACATTTTAATGGTTTACAGTACACTTAGATTTTTACATAATCTTCTGGAATTGTTTTATACATTTTTCCTTTCATTTCGTGGTGACTATGTTTGTTTCATTATTCTATATATTTTTCAACAGTTTCAGTATGTTTTTTTTTGTAGTTACTGTTATCTACCAGACAGGATTACCCTTTATATGTGATATTTATGTACTTATCACTTTGCCAACTCAATGCTATTCACGATCTTTTTGGATAAGGGCCGACTATGGAAATTTGGCAGTTTTTTTTAGCTTAAAAACTGCTTTGAAAATGAGGTTATGAATTCAATCATTCACTGTGATAAATTGAGAAGCTGCTTTGCCAAAGTGAGATTTTGTTTATGGGATGGTACGATAAACGTCACTCTATTTAAGACCATAGGTATATAATTAATAACAAAGCACATAATAATTAGTTCATTAATTTTTAGAGTTAGTGATTTGAAAACTTTCCTCTTCCAATTTTGCTTAATAATTTCACCATAAATCTGGAGCCTTTAACATATGAATTTGACTGGGTGGTGTATAACTTTCACTTTTTAGCATATTTTTTGAACTTCATCTCTGCTGCAACAGTAATAAACAAGTTAAAATTTTAAAACAAACGAGAGCAAATTTACTGGCTGAGCTTAATCTTTCACTTTGAAAATCAAGATTATTAAATGTTAACATAATAATAAGGAAGTATTTAACTTTAAACCTAACATAACTCTGACAAGTTTAGTTCATTATCTTCCATCCATATTATTTCACTGGAGGAATCTAATTCATTATCTAGATCATCGTCATCAATTCTGATTTTGATTCAGAATCTCCTAACGAGAATCGTACGGTAAATTTCCCATTTCTTTTTTCCAGTCGGCCAAAATAAGTCCTTCAGTATATTTACCAAAAATTTTTCATTTGTCAGGATAAAGATAAATTTGCTATCTTATCTGAAGATTTAGGTCGCGAATTTAGGAAATGACAATAGTATCGGGGTAATCTAAAACTTCATAACCATGTTGTTTCACTATTCCATGAGTCACGTAACGTCACGTTCTTTTTTCGAATTTTTTTCATTAATTGGCTTACTCAAACCAGGAATAAGTTGATTATTCACCCAATTTTTGAAAATATTGTTTTATGGTAGTCCCTGTCGTTATTTTTTGAATTTAGTAAAATTACCGGCTTGTCCAAATTGCGGCACATTTCTAATCCGCAACCCAACTGCGGTGCAATATTTTGCAACTACCAAACAGCGGTAAAATTCTTACTTACGGGTTAAGTTGTCTCGGTTTAATCAGGTACCTAAGTGAATGATATAGTAATTTAATACTTAAAATTACGAATGAAGAACTTAATGAAAATTTAGTAACTCCATTTTGTTTACTTTTCTGTCCTGTTATGTAAGTAAAACGAACCTAAATTGTTTAATAAACCCATCATAACTCTTTAAGGCAACAGAATATATTGTATTACATGTAAGATACATCTTACAAGCTAAAATTATGATATGACAGACACTAACAAATTTGTAGTTGACACGAACGACATCTTTTTCAATATATCGTTTTTCGTTTTAATGTAAACATTTGATTTTATTCTTTGATTCTAAACAGAATTTGGTTTTCCTCAAGATTTAAATTTGTACCACTAAATACTAACTGACGTTTCTATTCTTTTTTAAATTTATTCAGTTGCTTTAAGAACAATGCTGAAACCATTCGTTCAGAAGTATCACGTTCAGTCTACATAATTTTTCGTGCCACCAACGTCTGCAATTAGCATTGAACCATCGTCACTTATGTGGTCAAGAGTCATTTTTGCCAACTCTGTACTAGATTTTTTTGATTTATATCCTTTATGAATGACTTACTTTTTATATTTCCAAATATCTATGTATCATTTCAATTTGAGTGTGAAATGTGCCTCCGTAAGGTTGATGGTTTTATTTTTTTCTGATGTACATTGGTACTAGTTCTTCGATTATCTGTTTCACTTTTTTTCCGTTGCACCATGAATCAAATTTCTGAAAAACTTTTTCCCACGGCACAGAAGGTATCAAATTTTCACCTTAGCGTCCTTACTATTGTTATTTTCACACTCTAAATCACTTTCCTCGCTCATTCTCAGTCCAAAATTCACGAAAAATTGTAAACAGAATCGCCGATTTTATAAACTGAAAAATGTTTATTGACTGGTTGCTAAAGCAACACACGGGTAACATTATAAGCAGCGTTAGGCACAGCGGAACTGATGGGGAATCAACCAAACAAATATTAAAAACGCCTGCGCGACGTCAGGCGATAAATTTGACCGACTGTGTAGTCTCAACCACGTCTCAACCTCAGTGACGTTTGATGCAAATCGGGGTTTATCTAGTCAAGATCATCACGAAAATTGTGATGTTGAACAGTCATTTTTAATTTTTAAAGCACTCTTCCTGGTCTTTGCACACGCAGTAAAATCGAATTTTCCGAACTAGATATGTGTAAATTACCACAATAATTTAAACAAGTTGACAGTTAGCGTTTCTTTTCTTAATCAAGTAGATTGACGTAACAGTGGTTGCATACTTCCTATGCATTGATGTGTGTTTTTTAAAACTGATAGGGATTAAGCCCATACTTTTTTCAGATGTTCAAACTTAAAAAAAGTCCTGGTGTATTTATATACTTGTTTAAATATCTACAATTTTTTATATGCGCGGTGACTTCT